AGCATTTTGCACCAGGCCTTTGGCCCTCGGGGTGTGCCAACCAACCAACCAGTTGCCATCTCCACTCATGGCGACCTCATGTGTGTCAGAGTAGAAGTGTGCTCCACAGGGTTTTCAAGGGCTGATTTTTCAAAAGTAGATTGCCAGGCCTTTCTCTGGCAATGCCTCTGGGTGGACTGGAACCGCCAACCTTTTGGTTAGCGGCCAAGTTCGTTAATAGTTGCACTACCCAGGGACTCCACGCAAGGGCATCAATCTTGGCCAGCGCTTCCAGGGAAGAAGTGACTAGTCACTTGGGAGGCTGGGCTGGTCAGTCCCGAGACAGTCTAGTAGCTGGGTTGGTATACCCTAAAAAAATGTGGGGAGAGAGACCTGGATTTCCAAATACAGAGATAATATGAGGGTGGGGTGATGGAAGTGGGCGGAAGTGGACGAGTGACACCCACTCCCATCTACACAGAGCACTGCTATGTTTGATCTTCAACAGCTGTCCCTGCCCCATTATGTAGGCAAGAAGACTGAGCCCCAGGAAACGAAATGCCTTTCTAGGAAATGGCAGGGTGGGGATTTGATTCCAGCTCTGAATCAAGCCCATGCTCCTACCCTTGAGCCCCCTCCACCTTCTCCCAGTTCACTGGACTCACCCTTCGTAGGGCTGTAGGGGCTGTGTGCACCTCCTCCAGGCCCTTGGACCAGAAAGCCGGGGGGGGGGGTGGACCTTTGCTGGGTGCTGGAGTCCACCCTCCCGCTGCCCCTACCTGCCCAGCACGTGCCCTCGGGTTCCCCAGACAGGGATGCCAACCCCTGGCAGTGTCCAGAGCCCTGAATGAGAATGCCCAGGCCTTACAGAGGGCAGATGGGGCTCAGCTTATCCTGCCCAGGCAGGGGTGAGAAATGGAGGATCCTGGAAAGCAAAACCTTGCAAAACAGGAAAAGGTAGTTGGTTAAGATGAGACATGGTTTCAGAAGACCCACTTCTCCATAAGTTTCCTGAAGGGAAGCTGGGCTTTGGTGTAGCCCTACTGAGCCCCCTCCTGAGGATGTGTGGCAGGAAGCTGGTTTCTTCAGACAGGGGAGGGGCAGAGATTGAATTATCGTCTTTGTGGAGGAGGGCACAGGCAGGCACCCAGAGAACCAGCATGGGGCGCTTGAGTGGGTTGCTGTCTCTCCAGTAGGAAATGTCCAGCTGGTCCATTTGCCATCCAGTTGATTCCAACTCATAGCGACCTCATGTGTGTCAGAGCTGAACTGTGTGCTCCATAGGGTTTGCAGTGCCTGCTTTTTTGGAAGTAGATCACCAGGACTTTCTTCTGAGGCACTTCTGGGTGGACCCAAACTGTCAATCTTTTGGTTAGCACCCAAACACATTAACCATTTGTACCACCAAGGGACCTCAGGAAATGTCTACGGCACCATTACTAAGAAGACAAAGAGACTCCTGCAGCTGCCACGCAGATGAGACTGGGATTTGAACCCGGGTCTGTATGTTGCCAAAGCCCAAACTCTCTATCCCCAGACTCTACCCCTTCCCTCTAACTTTGGCAACTTATTGAGTGCCTATTATGTGCCAACTGCTCTCAGAGATTTCCATGCATTGACTCCTTTCATTGTCACAACTATCAGACATTTCCCCTTCTTTACAGGCAAGGAAACTGAGGCACAGAAGTTACCCAGTTGCACAATGTATCCCAGATCTCCACAACTGGCAAGTGGTGGAATGGGGCTTCAGAGCTGGAGCCCACCCTCCCTCCCCCAGGCACCTATGACCTGCCAACTCCTAGGCATCCTTCAGGACCCAGCTTGAAGGCCCTCAGTGAAGCTTCACTGCCCCTAGGCCAGTTAATGTTAGAGCACCATGGGTGTCCCCTTGAAAGTGTCCCCTACAGAGGTCAGTGATGGGGGCAGTTCTGCATGTAACCCAAAAGGTCCTAAGGATTTTGGCCTTACCGACCACCCTTTGGGAATCTGACAGCACTGTGCACCTCACCTGCATACTGGGAGCATTGGTGTGCCCTTCTAGTGCCGGCCCACCCCAGGCGTTGTAGGTTCCTCAGGCCATCTGCCCTGGCTGCTCCCTGTTCTGACTGCTGGGCCCACACTGCCACCCAGCGGCCCTCCCTCTCATGGCCTCACTCACCCGCTCTACAGATGTTCCCTTCCATGAGAACCCTTTCCCTGCACCCCAGAGATTGGCCTTGCTGCAGGATCCTCCTATCCCTTCACACCCAGAACAGTCACAGTATGGGCCTCAAGAATCCATAGCAGTGCCTACCCCAAAGTCTGGCTCATTTGGTCTCCAGACTGTCACATGTGCAAGCCCTCTCCCCCATCTTTGCTCCCCCCACCCCATACAGTCCAGGTGGGGACAGGTATTTAGCCCCCCTCACCCAGGTCCTCACTGGACACCTTGGCCACTTTGAACTGTTGCCAAGGCCTCAGACTGCTTTCTCCTTAGATACACAGCTATCCTTGAGGGCCACATGGCAGAGTCAGCCACCATGAACCTGCCCCCACCCAGGCCCAGCCATCCCACATCCTGAATCCTCCTGTCAGTGTGAAGGTGGACGTGGCGTACAGCTGCTGGGCTAATGAATAATGGCCCTTCTAGACCATGGGACACAAGCAGTGGGGGCAAACTATGTCCTGACTGTCTTGAGTTAAATGAACAGTTGCAGAACATCTGTGTATGCTGGGCCTATGTGGGGAATGTGTGTGCCTATGTCAGCATGGGCAGCAGTTACAGGGCCTGCGGGAGGAGAGGCGTCACCATTGCTTACTCTACACTTCTGTATGGTTTGAATTGGTTACAACAAGCAAGTTGTACTTATGAAATTAAAAAATTTTGATAAAAAATAGACCAACTTAAAAAATACAATTATAATCTTAACAACTGTAATCTTAACTCCATTTTCGAAAAAGAAGACATCTTCATGGAGACCACAACACGCACAGATGCCCTGGGCTGGGCCAAGGAGTGTCTCCACCCTCCGCTGTCTAGCCCTCTCCTTACACGGGCAGCTGCCTGTCCAAAATGAGACCTTGCTCAACCTTGGCTTTGCCCAGCCTAAACCAACAATCTCCAAAGGGCAGTTCCTTCTCCAGCCTCTAAGCAGCAGAAGTTCCCAGATTACAGGGCTTCCTCCAAGACTTGGAGATCTTGAATCAGATTCTCAGGTGGGGCTCAGGATTCCTGGATTCAACTGGGCATAAGTGAGTGTGTGCCTGTGTCTTGAAAGTGTGCATGCCCATGCAAGCATATGTGTCTGTGTGTCTCTCTGTGTATGTGCACATGTGCAAACACACGAGTGTGCATATGTGTGTACATGTGTGAATATATGTGAGCTTGTGTTTGTGCTCATGCATGTGTCTGGGGGTATGGGGAAACACATGAGAGGAGAGCACAGTTCAAAAGTAGGAGCTGGGCCCTGGAGCTGTGTTTCCAGGTTGGGATGGGGGCTCTGCCATGATAGCTGCTGACCTCAGGCAGGGCTCTTGACCTCTCTGGGCTTGTCTGTGGTGCTGGGGAATGAGCACAGCCCTCCCTCCTCTGGTGGCAGTGAGAAGATCAAGGGGCTTCTGGGGGAAGGCACCTTACCCAGCATCTGCCTTGAAAAAAGGATTCAGTACGACCCGCTGAGATTATCCTCCGAGACACCTGCTTCACTGAACTCTGCTAGGTTGCCTCTGAAGGTTGCCTCCAGGAGACGGAGAGAGTCCCCGCATCCTCGGCCCCACTCAACGCCTGCACACTGCAGGTACCCACCAATAGTTGTAGCACTGCTTCACTCACTCGTTCACTCACAGAATGATGATCATCAGGCTGGGAGCCTCCTAGGGCTGGCAGAGGCGACTGCGCGGGGGAGAAGGGCACAAATGCCTGCCCTCAGGAGATGAGCCTGTTCCAGCCGTCCTGGTGTCCACGTGCGTGCGAGTGTGTGTGTATGTGCATGTGCTTGTGCGTGTGTGAAGCCTTTGGTGGGACCGAGGCTGGTGCCTGCAGTTCTTCCGGTAGTCTGTAGATGGCAGCAGAGGTCCGCAGCAGAGGCCTGCCCAGCGCTGCACCTTCCCGGTACAAAGCAAGGGTGGAGGATTTGCAGGAGTAGGGCAGAAGTGTCCCAGGGGACAGCCCCCACCCACCCTGTGTCTCTAGATAAGTTGTTTCCTCTCTGGGAGCATTAGTTTCCTCATCTGTAAAATGAGGATTGTTTAGTAGTCTGTATTGGGAAAACTGGCTCCAAATATATAAGGGGTTACCTTAGTAGGTAGGCTCAGAATGACATGGAGACCTAAATGTGGAAGCGAAAACCATAAAGCAAATAGAGAATATTTGTGTCACTGGAAGGGGGCGACTTTTAAAACACAACACCAAAAGCCCAAACCGTAAGGTGAAAAAAGTGATGGATCTGACCAAATGGAAGCTCAGGATTTCTGGTCCAAGGACGCTTGTATCTCAAGGGAAAAAAAGAGCCAAGGATATGAGCAGGAGGTGCACAGAAACAGACGGGCTTCCAGTGCAGCAGAGACTCCGAGTTACCGAGGAGAGAATTGCAAATCAAACACCAACGAGATGCCACTTTGCCCAGCATGTTGGCAAACATTCTGAAGTTGGGTATGCTGGCGGTTGGCCACAAGTAGGGAAGTCGGCAGGCTTCAGTCTTGCCAGGCCGACTGGAGGGTCCCCTGGCCGCCTGCAGAGAAAACAACCTGATTCAGGTGGATACCTGAGGCTCCAAGAGAAACAAGACGTCCTGCTCTGACACCTCCTAGGTCGCCCATAAAATTTGGGACTCGCACGGACCGCTAGGGACTGGAGTGTGTTGGCGCAGGGACGGCCCACAGAGCAAGGGAGGTTACCGCCCCTCAGAAAGCCACGCCCTCCCTTACTTCTGCCCAGGCTTCGGGGCGGGGCCAGCCAGGGGCTCCCGCCCTGCCCTGCTCGGGCCAGCCTGGCCCTTTAAGGCTCGCGGAGCGGGGCCCCAAGTCAGGATGACGCGCGGGGGTGGGGGTGGGAGGGGGCGGTCACGTGGGCCGCCGGCCTTACGACTCTCGGCCCAGGGCGCTCCGCGGTTCTCGGCTCCTGCGACCGCCGCCCCTGCCCCTCGCCCGCGTCGCTGCCAGGTGCAGGGCCACTAGGTAAGCCCTCGCTGGGTCCGCTCCGCGGCCCGCGCTCGGGATCTCGCGGCCCCTCGGCGCCCGGCCTCTTCCCTTCCTGACACGTGCCCGGGCCGAACTCTCTCGTGTCCAGCTGCGCGACCACCGCCTGTTGCCGCGCGGCGGTACTCAGGAGATTCGCCCCGCATTCCCGCCTTGTCCCGCCCACAGGCGAGCCCAACTCTGGGCTCCAGGACTGGGGTGTGTTAGAGGAGTCTGGGCGGGACTCACTCTTCCTCTCTCCCTCAGGTGGTCCTGGAAGCGCCAGGCTGGGGCCACCTCTGAGTGCCCCGCGGGGGCCATGGATGGCGAAATAGCAGCGGAGCAGGGGGACCCCGCGCCCCCGCCTGGTGCACCCGGCGGACCCGGCTCCGGAGGCGATCCGGCCCTCGGGGGGCGGCGGGAGCCCAAGAAGTATGCGGTGACAGACGACTATCAGTTGTCCAAGCAGGTGCTGGGCCTGGGTGTGAACGGCAAGGTGCTCGAGTGCTTCCACCGGCGCACGGGGCAGAAGTGCGCCCTGAAGGTCAGTGACTCCTCGCCAGGGCTTGGAATGTCCCGGAGGGCCCGACAGCAGAGATCTGTGGGTACAGGCTATCGCCAGGGTCCCTGCTAAGCTTCCTATGTTCAGCGTCATGTTTCATCCTCATAATCCGCTGTGAGGTCAGGACTGTGGCCCTCCCTGCTTTACAGATGGAGAAACTGCGGCTTAGTGTAGCTAAGCTCTGGGTGTCCCAGTGAGCAAGGGGTGAAGTAAGTATGGGTAGGGCCTGTGTACCCGGAAGCAGGGAAGGAGTGGCTCCTCTCTCTGGGATTCTCGCTGGGCCTATGTGTGTTCAGGCCCCAGGGGGCCCTCACTCAGTTTGGCTGCGCCTTTGGTGATCAGCTCCTCTGACTGTGATGTGTCTGAGTTTCCCTCTGCCTGAGGCCGAGCCCTGGCAGGCCTTGGGATGGGACTGCTCCCTCCCTGTGGTCCCCTGCCTGCCAGGGCTAGGAGCCTCCTAGGGCTGAACAGAGGGCAGGGCTGATGCCTATCACACCTGTGAGCAGGAGGCTGCTGTTGGGCTCCTGCTGAGTCACTGGGCCCCCTGTTGAAAGGGGCAGGACCTGATCCCAGCCTGATCCACCCTGGCTCCTGGGCAGAGGGCAGGCCAGCCATCTAGCCACAACACAATACAGGCATACTGGAGGCCTGGCCCAGGCCTTGCTGATACAGGTGGAATCAGGGGGACCTGGGGGTGGCTGATCTAGCCATGTGGTTCTGATTTAAGTCACACAGTTCTGTGCCCAGGACCCCACCCCATACCCAGAATTCCTTGAATCTGTCATCAGCTGAGAACTTTGCTCATCTGCAGCTTGTGCCAGTGGCCACCTGGATGGGTGGAACAAGGCAGGCAGAGTGGCTGCTGGAGGTTACAAGTACCGCAGAGGATCTAAGTTGTGGTTGTGAGCCCGAGCACAGAGTCCTACAGATAAGGCTCTAATCTCGCCCTGCATTTGCCAGGGCAATGTCCTGGACTCTTGAAGCCAGCTTGCCTCCTCTATTCAGGGGGAAACATAAGGGGTTGATCTGAGCTTGAAATGAGATGGTAAGGGCAGAGTTCTTGGTATTGGGCCTGGCACAGGCCTAGAGGCCACGGGCCTTGTTTAGGGCATGTGGTCTGCCAGTCTCTGAACATGGGCCTTGGCCTAGCACTTGGTGTCTAAGACTGATGGAGGACTCATTTCTCCAGAGGAGCCTTGGAGGGCATCTGAGGATGGGTCCAGGGGGAGGCTCAGGGCTACGTTGGTGGGGCAGGCCCCAGAACCACTAACCCAGCAGTGGTACAGTGTGGGGGACTTTTTGGAGTCCCAGGCAGGGGATTCTTTGAATCCTTCAGGAAAAAGGTGGCTCCTCTGAGGGGCTATGGAGATAAGGCAGTGGGTATTGGGAGTCTACACCCTCTCTCTTGGCACCATCTTAGCCCCTTCTCCTGTGCTGAGATCAGGGGGCTGCCTGGGTGTTCGAGGGACCAGCTCAGGCCAGGAAACTGCTTCTCAACACCAAGACTTTGGTCCTGTGAGCCAAGGCTGAGCTTCGCCCAGCTCCTATGCTGCTCCAGATGGTGCGAGTGAGATGGCGAAGGGGTAGGAGGCTAGAGTCTTTGGACCCAGGCAACACTGACTTTAAGCAGGGCTGAGCCTAGCGCCTTCTCCACAGGTGTGTGTCCATCTGTTCATCTGGTGAGTGACTACATGGGCAAGCCTCTGTTTTCTGACTGTAGCAACTTCCAGAGCACCTCCTCTTGAATTTAGGGCCTCAGTGCTCTCCCTGTTCCAGACCGGGAACTGGGACAGGCCTAGAGCAGGTTCCTCTCTCTCCTCCTTTAGGCTTTAGGGGTAAATGTGGCTGGAGGTACGAACCCCAAGTTGGTCCTCAAAGGGGGCATGGATTAGATGTGGCTCCCACCCTGGCACCTTCTGTTTTCTCCCTTCCGCTCCTCCACTGACCAAGCCTGGAAGGCCCCACCCAGCTAGGCCAGGCCCTTCCCACCTCTCAAAGCAGGGCTGATACAACCCTGGGTTGCTGGGAGACTCTGGGCCCGATTTGGGGACCAGCCTGGCACAGTCACTGTACCTTACTTGAAATGACTGTGGCCGTGAGGAGAGAGATGGCATTTCCTTGCTTCATAGCCTCTGCCCTTCGCCTAGTGCTGCGCAAGTGCCCCTGGCCAGGATCTGGATTCTCCGCATGTGGGCCAGCCTGGGCCCAGGGAGTTTGACCACAAACAGGTCCCGGCCCTCTCCTCAGCTGCCCCAGCTCAGGCTGGGTGGACGCCATGCACTCTGTTTGTTGTCCTTCCTTCCCAGGGCTATCCCCCAGGTCTCCAGGTTGGCCTGTCCTCATCGCGTTGCCTGTCTAGTCTTCAGCCCAGGATGCGCTGCCCTTCCTGGTGGTCCAGGCCGGTGCCCTGACCTCTCTCCGTGACCGTCCCCTCAGCCCTGTTGCCCAAGATGGCAGCTAGTGCTTAGTACGGAACCTGCAACGCAACAGACACTCATAAAATAGGAAGAGCTGTGGTCACTGACCCTGTAGCTTTCACTGTTCTGTGTGGGCCCTGGAGGAGCAGGCCCCTCCTCCCAGGAACCTGGGCCTCTTCCCCTTTGCCTCAGCCCGTGATTGCCAACTTGGTCCACTCAGGCCTCACTCATACTTAGCTGCTCCCTCCCGAGGCCAGCTTCTGCCATAGTCGTTCCACCCTCCATCCCACCCTGAGTACTCACTGCTGTCCCGTTGGCAGGAACTAGAGTACTGAGCGGTGTTGGAGCTGTCTGCTGCGGGAGAGGGCTTATAGGGGTAGGGGACTGCCTTCTGCTAACCTCTTGCCTGTGCCCCCTCCCAGGCCTAACTGGCTAGTTGGCACCACTCAGTTTCACCCCTAACTAGACATAGCCCTGCAGGTCCCTTTCACTCAGTGATCCCACCACGTCCAAGACCCAGCGCCTCAAACCTTATCACGTATGTGGAAGTTGGAACCACAGCGAATAGTCAGAAGTCACATGGCTCGGTTAAGAGGAAGACTCCCAGCAGCGACCAGAATTCCCTCCACTCCTGATTTCCTGCCCAGACTGCTTGTGGTTCTTGGCTTCCTGGCAGGCAGAAGTGGCCAAGGCACTGAGTACCTCCAAATAAAAGCAATGAAAGGCCTGGAGGAGCTACAGGGTCTGCATGTGGGTGGAGAGGTAGCCTCTTCTCTCCTGCTTCTTCCCTCTGGGCCCTGGGACTAGGTTCCCTTCCCCCTCTGCCCTCTGGAGCATGCCGGAGGTCTGGGGCCTCTTGTTCCCTTCTCCACCAAGGAAACTGGACTCGTGGGGTGGTGGATCCACATGCCTGGGAGACCTCTGTGCCAAGACCCTGCAGAGAGTGTCCTCCTTCTGAGCCCCAGGATCTGGGGAGCTTGCTGGGGCTACCTTGCTCAGGACACTTCTCCCCTTGGTGACAGTGCTGGTGCCATTTGCCTGCTGGGAACCAGGCTTTGCTCTGTGCACCCAACAGCACAACGCGGAAGAGGGTACACTTATCCTAGCAGATGGGAAACTAAGTTCTGGAAACCAGGAGTCTTTGCCTGCGGTCACACAGGGATTTGAGGAGGGATTTGAGTATTTGACTTTATACATTTCAAGCGTCTAAGGTTGGCATTTGTGGCCTTCACAGTCCAGCCCACTTGCCTTTCATGTCCTGGGTGACATCTTTCCCTCTCCCGCACTAGAGAATCCCTTTCTGCCCATCAAGGCTCAGCCCCACTGCTCCCTCTCCCCAGAAGCTGTCCAGAGCCCCTGGCTTTGGGGCAATGGAACTCTTTTGGTCCCATAGTGGTAATATCCCCCTTGGCTCAAGGCTACCTTGTGGCATCTGGGCTGTTCTGGGTGGTAGAAGGCACATACCTGGACACTGAGCAGGGCTCACGTCCCTGCCCCACTCCCAGCCGGGCCCTGGTGTACAGGGTTGTTGTTAGTTGCCCTGAAGCCCGATTTCAACTCATAACCACCCGCGTGTGCAGAGTAGAACTGTGCTCCACAGGGTTTTCAAGGCAGATCATCAGGCCTCTGGTGCACCTTCCGAGTTGCCTCGGGTTCAAACCGCCAACCTTGTGGCTAGTAGTTGAGCGCTTAAATGTTTGTGCCACCCAGGGACACCAGTAGGGGCTCATTAATGCCCCTACTTTGGAAGAAGCACTGGGAGCCGGACTTTTCCCTGGTTTCCCCACGGGAGAGAGAGTCTCTGACTGCTTCTCAGAGATAAGCCACAAATATTCTCCATTTCACCTGTGCTAAGGTCTGGGCATTCACAAATGGATCCAGCAGCGAAGGCCTGGGCCGCAAGGAAATGCCTGTTGCTGAGACCATTTCTTTCCTGTCTGTTGTGTTAGCTCCACCTCTGAGAAGTGGGCAGAGAGGCTCTCTCCAACCAAAATGCCAGGAGGAAGGTAAAATGTGAGTTGGATGCAGACACTGGGGGACAGTAGGCCTGGAGCCCAGTGCCCCAGATGCCTCACCCTACCTTGAGGGGACAGTGCTCATTGCTCCATGGGTGGGGCTGGCCTGTTGGGGATGGTGCTGCTGAGCTAGATTTGAGGCTGGGTGGGGCAGCCAGGCAGGCTGGGTATTTTCCCATTTGGTGACCACCACCCCCTCACCTGCCATCTCCAGACCAGTCAGATCAGCCTCCACAGGGCCACTTGTTACCCAGTCAACAAATCAGGAGCCGTGTGCAGGACTGGTGGCCCTGCACCATGGAGTCTCCGAAAGTGGTTTCACTGTACCTGAGGTTGTCCTCAGGCTGCCCCTTACCTGGCAGGAAAGAATCTGAGGCGCTCATGTGCCACCGCACTGGTGGAGCCTTCTGAGCTGCCCGACCCATTGCCACTGAGTTGATTCTGGCTCGTAGTGACCCTGTAGGACAGAGTAGAACTGCCCCATAGGGTTTCCAGTGCTGTAATCTTTACAGAAGCAGACTGCTACATCTTCCTCTGAACCACCGACCTT